TTTATCACACTTTCTTATGATGTCTCATAATTGAAAGGCAAGCCTATACCTTAAGTCTTTAAATTTATTTTAAATTATTGATTAAATTTTTAAATTTTTATAAAAATAAACAAAATTTTAAATTTATCAATCTAAACAATTTAATTCTTTTTTAATGGTAGAACAATCTTAAGGAGTTTAATTTATAATTTGAATTTAATTCTACTTGATTTTTTTTTTTTTTTGAGTGTTCAACTTAAACTTGAACTCAGGTCCAGGTTCTCACTCAAATTTTACTTGAGTGGCGTAATTCATTTACAGCCCTAATTACACACTGTCTTTGAAGTCTTAATGACTACAAGAAGAGTGTTGGAACTACAAAACTAACAAAGGTTGAGGACCAACTTATACTTTGAGCTAAGAACTAAGGACCAAAGAAAGCAATTTTGCCTTGGGCGGAGAGAAGAAAACATATGTAGTGGAATTCATCACGATTCACGTGATAAAATATAATTGAAGTTAAAGCTGTCACTGACCGTGAATGTAATAATTGTCCTTGAGTGTGGAGCGGCAGGCAAATTTGAAGAAGTTTGCAAGGTAAGGCAATTTGCACCACTCGTTACCACTAAAGAAATTTGAAATGTGATTTGAAATCCGATCTGATAAATACACAGCGACAAGGCAATCTTTTCAATTATATTTTACTGTTTGTTTGATATAAGTGTTGAAGTTAAAAGATGTCAGACACACATGATGTACCAGACACCCCCCCATGAAATAAAAGACAATAAAAAAGAAAAAGACACCCCATTGAGGTTCTCGAGAATTTGCAATACTGACATGACTTTAATAAGCTGTGGACTAGTGGTTTGAACTTAAGACATTGGAATTTTGATTTCGCGTCTACATCCCTGACCGTACCAATATAATTGATTCTTCAAGGCAATTTCTGAGAAAATTCCTATGGAGTGTATTTCTTATACTTTGCTTTCATTAAGATATTAGTAAAAATATTCTAATTAGATCTATTATATGGGTATTAAGATTTTTCAAAAAATTTATAATATTTTAAAGTAATAATATGTTAATATTTTATTTACGTAATCAATACATAAAAAAATATTGAACCTGCCCTTTTAGGCCAAGTGGCTTTGACCACATTTGTAAAGTTCATATTCCCCTTCTTCAGACCAACGGTTCGAGTCGACCTTATGACAAAATGTTCATAAAAAATACATAAAAAAAATATTAAATGTCATTAAAAAAATTAAATTATTTAATTTAAAATTTTATTTTCTTTAATAACAATTTAAAGATTCAATAAAAAACCTTTTTTTTATTCCTCAACTATTGTACGGACCCGATTAAGTCCCTCAACTCAAAAATTTCTTGACTTCGTCCCTACTATTTATCATTTTTACCCCAATTTAGTTCTTTCGTTAAAAATCTCTCCACGTGTACTGTCAATTCACGGTAAGATAATGACATGTCAAAATTTTAATCCACGTGGAAGACAACATGGCAAAAGCTAATGACATGACAATAAAAATTTTAAAAATTTTAAAAATTCTCTCTCCTTCCTCTTCATTTTCTGAACCCAGAGTCTGGGATCGTCGAACCCAGGCGATGGGTTCCTTCAAACCCAACTGAGCTTTCCTCGTTCCCTTTCTCCTTCCTCTTCCTTTCCTTCTTCATCAATCAATTCATCATCATCATCATCAAACAACACTCACAAAAACACAAAAAATTTTTATTTATTTTTTTGTTAAAGAACCCAGTGCCTGGGTTTGATCGAACCCAGCACCGGGTTTGAGGAAACCCAGAGCTTGGGATCATTGAACCCAGGCGATGGGTTCCTTCGAACCTAGCTAGGTTCGTCGAACCCAACGCATGGGTTCGTCGAACCCAGACGATCTGGGTCGTCGAACCCATGCGAACCCAGCTGGGTTCCTTGGAACCTAGAGCCTGGGTTCGTCGAACCTAGAGCCTGGGTTCGTCGAACCCAGCGCCAGGTTCCTTGGAACCCAAAGCCTGGGTTCATTCGAACCCATCTATTGGGTTCTTCGAACAAACCCAAGCCTAGGTTCTAAGAAACCCAGCGCCTGGGTTCGTTAGAACCCAGCGACTGGTTTCTGAGGAACCCAATGGTGGCTGCTGGGTTCGATGGGTTCTAAGAGGGGAAGGGTAAACAAAAAGGGGAAGGGTAAACAAAAAGGGGAAGAGAAGGGGAAAGAGAAGGAAAAAGAAAAAAAGAAAGAATTTTTTAAAGTTTTATTTTTCATATTATTATTATTTTTATATTATTATTATTTTGCCACGTGTATAATATTTTGCCACGTCATCCTATAACAGTGAATTAACAGCACAGGTAATGAGATTTTTAACGGAATGACCAAATTAGGATAAAAATGGTAAACAGTAGGAATCAAGTCAGGAACTTTTAGAGTTGAGGAACTTAATCAGAGATCCATACAATAGTTGAAGGACCAAAAAAGAGATTTAACCTTCTTTTTTTTTGCGCAAATTCCACACCCCCCTTCTGCATCATCATAATCATTTCTTTTGGCAATTTTTGGAAAAAAATAATTTTGTAGTCTATTTACTAGACTTTCCATCTCGATTAAGTAAAAACTTAATTTTGAGTTTTATATCAATAAAAATATTTTAATTAAATTTATTATGTATGTATTAAGGTTTTTTTGGATAAAATCCATAATATTTTTAATGCAAATTTACATTGAGGATAATAGTTAAATTGTCATTATTATTATTACTATTTGACTACTGGTAAATTATCATTAATCTAACTTAAAAAAATATTTTTTATTACTCTAGATTATACAATAAATAATAATTTTAATTTTTTAATTTATCACACCTTCTTGTGATGTCTCATAATTGAAAGGCAAACTTATACCTCAAGTCTCTAAACTTATTTTAAATTTTTAATTAACTTTTTAAATTTTTATAAAAATAAATAAGATTTTAAATTTATCTATCTAAATAATTTAATTTGTTTTTATGGTAGATTTAATGCCTATTAATGTTTAATTTACATAAATAAAATTGATACTTATCATGTAAATTATAATATATTAATATTTTATTCACATAAATATTACATAAATAAACATTAAATTTCTAAAAAAAAGAGGTTAAATTATTTAAATTGTTAAATTAAGAACTTATTTATTTAAAAAAATTTAAAAACTTAATTAAAAATTTAAATAAGTTTGTAAACTTAATATAAGATTTTACCTAACCAAATCGTAGAATATATTTAGTCATGTGGATATTATTCTAACTTTGTTGCTTATATCAGTTATTTGATTGTCCTGCGCTAAAGACTTGTAGATATGGGAGGTTGGCTTTGTAAGTAATTGACAAATGGGTTCATAAAAAGGAAAACAGTGAAAACGTAATTTAAAACGTGCAAAGTAAATCAAATCTTTTAACCTTAAGGGTATTACACTAACTATTGTAAAAAGTACAATTGAGGTTTTTTAGAATTTGAACTTGAGTTGATGCTAGTATGATGGGTCTATTTTAAGTTTTTTGTCAAGTTTAAATTAAA